AGTTGTACAAGTTTTGTATGTGTGATATAAGACAGCAACACAACGCAAAACCAAACGGCATGTTATAATCAACATATGGTCGTATACAACATTAGACACTCGTCAAGCTTAAAATCTCCCCTTTGTCTGTAGAGCTGTTAATAAATTAAACAGAGACCACCTTACACGTCAGGCTTCAAATCGTCATTTAGACTGAAAATTGTTAATAAATTGAACATAGACCACAAAATATGTCGAGCTTCAAATCGCCCCTTAGCCAGGAGAGCTGTTTATGATTTAAACAGAGACCATTAGATATATCAATCTTCAAATCGCTCAAAGACCACCAAATATGTCAATTGCATGCTTCAAATCGCCTCTTAGTCTTACGAGCTGTTATTAGATTAAACAAAGTCTGGAAAACATGTGATGTAATAAAGAAAACGGTCATCATGTTGCCCGGATAATGTGGTCTAGCTATGTTATGTAATAAAGAAAACGGTCATCATGTTGCCCAGATAATGTGGTCTAGCTATGTTATGTGATAAAAAAAACGGTCATCATGTTGCTCGGATAATGCTGCCTAGCCATGTGATGTAATAAAGAAAACGGTCATCATGTTGCCCAGATAATGTGGTCTAGCCATGTGATGTAATAAAGAAACGGTCATCATGTTGCCCAGATAATGTGGTCTAGCCATGTGATGTAATAAAGAAAACGGTCATCATGTTGCCCGGATAATGCTGCCTAGCCATGTGATGTAATAAAGAAAACGGTCATCATGTTGCCCGGATAATGTGGTCTAGCTATGTTATGTAATAAAGAAAACGGTCATCATGTTGCCCGGATAATGTGGTCTAGCTATATGATGTAATAAAGAAAACGGTCACCATGTTGCCTGGATAATGTGGTCTAGCTATGTTATGTAATAAAGAAAAAGGTCATCATGTTGCCCGGATAATGTGGTCTAGCTATGTTATGTAATAAAGAAAACGGTCATCATGTTGCCCGGATAATGCTGCCTAGCCATGTGATGTAATAAAGAAAACGGTCATCATGTTGCCCGGATAATGTGGTCAAGCTATGTTATGTAATACAGAAAACGGTCATCATGTTGCCCGGATAATGTGGTCTAGCTATGTTATGTAATAAAGAAAACGGTCATCATGTTGCCCGGATAATGTGGTCTAGCTATGTTATGTAATAAAGAAAACGGTCATCATGTTGTCCGGATAATGTGGTCTAGCTATGTTATGTAATAAAGAAAACGGTCATCATGTTGCCCGGATAATGCTGCCGAGCCATGTGATGTAATAAAGAAAACGGTCATCATGTTGCCCGGATAATGTGGTCTAGCTATGTTATGTAATAAAGAAAACGGTCATCATGTTGCCCGGATAATGCTGCCTAGCTATGTGATGTAAAATCTGTACCTGAATTACCGGCGAGGATTGGAAATACTGGATAATTGAAGTCGCACGAATATCTTGACGTTAGATTTGAAACCCATGCATGATTTTTTATTTTTTTTTATTTCTTCTTTAAACATTTCTTTGCATCAATACGCACACTTAAACCAGTAAAATATTTGTGTTTCCCTATTGCCGAGACTGAGCAATAAAAATCGGAATCGGGCCATAATAATGTTGCTGGCAGAAATAAGACAACGTGCTGACGCTAGACAATTTCACCTCAGAACTTCAAATTCAGTCCTTGAAACAACGATGGAGGGCAGATTGGATTTGTAAATGACCGCACATGACCAGGTCAATGTGTAGTCACAACGCCCCGTTAACAAATTTCATTACACAAGCCGTTTGCAAGAGAGATTTATGACTACAACGTCAACTGCTTGCTAAGTCACCAGGTGTCAAAGGAGACAAATGCACGCCAAAGTATTTCCAATATATATACTAAATTCAACAAATCATTTTAAGGTTTATAGTTAAAACCTCATTATTGTCAAAAACAAATGCAATTGGCGGCTAGACAGGGGCAATTGGCGGCTAGACAGGGGCAAATTTAGCAGAAACAAAACTCCAAACATCCACAGCAAAACAAGTCGTATTCTCTGTCAATCAAACTGTAGGTTACAAGCAACCAATGCCTCGACAGTGGATACATCCATTTATAAGGAGAATACCAAGGTGTTAGTCTGAACATACTACATCATTTGAACAATAAACATGACGTTATCAATCCAACTTTCGAAATGCAAACTTTATGTAGACAATGAAGTAATGATGGAAATTTATGTTAACATATGTATTTTACAAGTATTGCATATTTGAAAAAGAAATTAAAAAAAGATAAGCTAGTGTTGCGTTTTTAAAGTCCGTCGGTATATATCTGAATGCTGGTTATTTTGATTGATACGAAATATAGCAAAATGACGATCACATGTTGCATGATTCGCGGAATAAAAAATGTGGCCATCATTTGGTTTGAACTCTGATTTTGTATAAATTTAAAATTAAAAAAAATAGCTTTCAGTTCTTATTTATACAGATCTTCGAAATAAAATACCTATGGTTTTAATATTTATAAGAGAGGCAAAGGATACAACAGGGATATTCAAACTCATATGATAAACACAAAACTTCAGCAGAAATTTTGGAACATCATCTCATGAAATCAATTGTACGTCATATTTTATTTCTAAGCAGATAGCTCACAAAATATCTATCTAATTTCAATAATTATTCTACATGTATATTAGAGGAAAATAATGCATCGTTTCTTATTTTCATTAATTATTTATAAAATTATTTTCAATATATAATATCAACTTTTTCAAATTAATTAAATTTGCAACCTTATTAAGTTAACGAACACTTGTAAGATTATATTGTTAATTAATTAAGCTAATAATTCTATTTTTGGGTTGCTTTTACACACTTTGGAAACATATGTCGATACAAGATGATTCGCCTTTCAACCTCAACCAAATTAAATTAGTATCTGTATGAATTAAACACCTTCTGTTAATATATAGAAATAAAAATCATACTGCCTATATATATACTGCTATATGAAGTGTAATAAACAGAAATGTCCACATATTGCCTATTATGTTATACATAAATGTTAATCCTGTCTATGTATAGCTATGTATTGTGGCAATATTGATTGTAGATCAGAGGTGTTTTTTTTGTTTTTTTGTTTTGTTTTTTTTTTTTTTGGGGGGGGGGGGGGGGGGGGGCCTCCATATACAGTTTATGCATAGATTTGTTACAACTCAATCTCCTAACATTGGTGGCCCACCCACAATCAAAACCCTGTCTCTGCATCTGTAAATTGATTGAATACTTAGTATATTGAGGCAGATATTAGAGTTATGTTGCAGAATATTCATCAGTCAAATAGTTAACGACAATAAATAAACTCTACACGACTACTTATACCACTAGAAGCAAGCCAAATCGACTTGTTGCAAAAAAAAAACTAGAATCTATGAAGTGTAGGTTTGTTTGTGTCACCAACCTTTATACTGACGTGTACAAGTCCAAACAATGTTATTAACATGACTGCCGACTTATTCATTTACAAAAATTTACTTCTTGGTCAAAGGTTCTAATCGTTAGACGTATAAATGTAATGCTGTAAATGACAGTTATTCAAATGTCAAGAGGCTGGCACTGCCTATAATCTTGTTTGCATAAATAATATACTTTGCTATGTATAAGGATTCCTAAACTGTATAATCAATAAAAGCTTCGATATACTTCATAGATGTTGGAATTGTAGGCTCACCGGTGAAGCTAAAGTGTTATGGTCTGTGCTAAAGTGCATTTTGATGATTGCAATGCAATAGTACACACATACTCTTTATTTTATAACAATGACAATTTGATTCGTATTAAATAGTTTTTTTGTAAAATCATCTTTACAAAATAACTTATTGCATAATATAGGAAATGCATAAAACCAAGTAATTGCCAAAAGAATTTCATTTTAAGGTTGATGCTACCAAATCAAACCCCCTTTAGATTTACCAGCTATTTCGATATTCGTATTGGTTTTCGATTTTAAACATTTTGGCCTCGTACATCTCCAAAGATACATTAATTGTCGACATGCGCATCTGGTGCAATACGTCGACATGCGCATCTGGTGCAATACGTCGACATGCGCATCTGGTGCAATACAATTGGTACCGTGTACCGTTAATAGTGTCCTAATACAATACATGTACCGTTAATAGTGTCCTAATACAATACATGTACCGTTAATAGTGTCCTAATACAATACATGTACCGTTAATAGTGTCCTAATACAATACATGTACCGTTAATAGTGTCCTAATACAATACATGTACCGTTAATAGTGTCCTAATACAATACATGTACCGTTAATAGTGTCCTAATACAATACATGTACCGTTAATAGTGTCCTAATACAATACATGTACCGTTAATAGTGTCCTAATACAATACATGTACCGTTAATAGTGTCCTAATACAATACATGTACCGTTAATAGTGTCCTAATACAATACATGTACCGTTAATAGTGTCCTAATACAATACATGTACCGTTAATAGTGTCCTAATAATACAATACAAGTACTTAGTCCAGTAAGCCTAAAATAAACTGTACAAACATTCTGTTTTATTTTAGCTATTGCAACACATCTTTTTCTTTTTTTTAACTTTGCGCCATATTCGATTCCTGGTTACTCTTTGCAAGTGCACATCTTGAAAAAGCAGCGCATGAACGGGATAAGTCAAAGCGTCTTTGCTCTTTCGTGTTTTATTGTTTACGGTTTTTCGTGTTTTTATCTGGGGTATAATGTTATCATATATTCAGTGGTGACATCTGTGAATATGAATAGAGGTTGATTATGGAACATAAGTAAAACAGGCAACACTTTAACGACACAAATAACCAAAACATAGTTAACTAAAAGGCAACATAGTCTTTTGTAATAGACAGTTGACATTACAATATGGAAAACTTTACTTCAGTCCTATAGAAACCTATCAAAGTTAAGAATAACAGAAACTATCAGACATCTGCCATGACATCAAATTCTCTGAGTAACAGAAACTGTCAGACATCTGCCATTACATCAAATTCTCTGAGTAACAGAAACTATCAGACATCTGCCATGACATCAAATTCTCTGAGTAACAGAAACTGTCAGACATCTGCCATGACATCAAATTCTCTGAGTAACAGAAACTGTCAGAGATCTGCCATGACATCAAATTCTCTGAGTAACAGAAACTATCAGACATCTGCCATGACATCAAATTCTCTGAGAAACAGAAACTATCAGACATCTGCCGTGACATCAAATTCTCTGAGTAACAGAAACTGTCAGAGATCTGCCATAACATCAAATTCTCTGAGTAACAGAAACTATCAGACATCTGCCATGACATCAAATTCTCTGAGATACAGAAAATATCAGACATCTGCCATGACATCAAATTCTCTGAGTAACAGAAACTGTCAGAGATCTGCCATAACATCAAATTCTCTGAGTAACAGAAACTGTCAGAGATCTGCCATGGCATCAGATTCTCTGAGTAACAGAAACTGTCAGACATCTGCCATTACATCAAATGCTCTGAGTAACAGAAACTATCAGACATCTGCCATGACATCAAATTCTCTGAGTAACAGAAACTGTCAGACATCTGCCATGACATCAAATTCTCTGAGTAACAGAAACTGTCAGAGATCTGCCATGACATCAAATTCTCTGAGTAACAGAAACTATCAGACATCTGCCATGACATCAAATTCTCTGAGAAACAGAAACTATCAGACATCTGCCATGACATCAAATTCTCTGAGTAACAGAAACTGTCAGAGATCTGCCATAACATCAAATTCTCTGGGTAACAGAAACTATCAGACATCTGCCATGACATCAAATTCTCTGAGATACAGAAAATATCAGACATCTGCCATGACATCAAATTCTCTGAGTAACAGAAACTGTCAGAGATCTGCCATAACATCAAATTCTCTGAGTAACAGAAACTGTCAGAGATCTGCCATGGCATCAAATTCTCTGAGTAACAGAAACTGTCAGAGATCTGCCATGACATCAAATTCTCTGAGTAACAGAAACTATCAGACATCTGCTATGACATCAAATTCTCTGAGTGACAGAAACTATCAGACATCTGCCAAAACATCAAATTCTCTGAGTAACAAAAATCAATACGACAGCCACTAACGATGGTCCTGGCATAGGACGCGTACATGTAGAGGACTGTTGTTTTATAACAGAATCTGATTGCAACAAAATATTGGCATATGCCCTCCACCATTTCACCAGATGACAGCAAATATTCGAAGGTAATGCGGACACATTATAAAATTTGAAAGGATTATTTTTACAACGTGCATATTATAACAGTTGTTTTGCCAGTAGTAAGTTTGACACGGAAAATTGTTATTTTTGTTGAAAATAAAAACACGCATGCTGTATTATCATCAATAAATATAGTAAATTAAATATAATGATATGCTCAAATGAAATATTACCGTCCTACACTCAAATATCGGTTACTGCACGAAATATATTTCTATTTCATACAAGAATTCCCAAACAATACTGAAAAGCACACTCTAGTGCAATGATAAGAACAAACTGCACAGGATTTTCCATACTGACAAAAAGAGACATTTATAATTATTTCAAACTATTACCTATCAAATTGGTTTGTATCTCGATAAAAGTACCAGCAAGTTTACAGTAAAATTGTAACCTTATAATTACATGTATCGACTTTTAATCAGGTTGAAACAATTGATTTTTTCTATTTTGTTTTGTTGTGGTCAATCTCTCTTTGGACAGTTCATTGTTGGATGACTAATGGATTTGAGCAATGGTTGTGAAAGACTATCGTAACAATGTTTCTTGAGCGCTCCCTCTATAGAAAATAAACTTATTTTTCTTCCGCACATACTATTTTAGAAAAAAAATAGTCTACAGAGCAATATTTCATATGAATAACGAAAAAGTCAAATTTTGGTATTTCAAGCAACGACAAAATCCCTTCTCGAATTTATCACAATCAACAGAAAAGAAACAACGCTAGTCATAATTGTTGATCTTACTCTGAACGCCAGAGTGAGGCCTTCAACACAGAACAAAAACTGTTAAGGTATCGTAAGACAAATCCGTGTATGTGAAAGGGACATTATTTTTAGTTCACTACGTCTCCTTAGCACCATGTAGAAATATATATTGCATTACCTGAAGATCTGTGAAAGCAGTGAAAGCGCTAGAAAATGTGATGAATTCAAACCGTTATTATCTTTTATTAATTTTCTTATATATATATATATATATATATATATATTGAATGAAAGGATTTCTTGTTTATTATTTTACGATTTACAGATGAAATAAAAAGCTAGGGAGTATAATGAGTTGTAAATCGAAGAGGGTATGTAACAAAATGGTCAGAAAATAAAAATAATGTTTCTCCAACTTTTCATAATCTCTTTATATAAACAACAGAGTAATGTATGTATAAAAAAAATTCTGAACACCGTAAGATGTGATTTATCCACGATAATCTGCTGCCTACATTGGAACCCGATCGTTAATCAAATGTCCCCAGAGGTTTCATTTCCATATAGCGGATTATTTATACGAGTAAACAGAACGCCTACATTTTAAACCTTTGTTTGTAAACACTGCTTAGACAATAGTTTAAATGATAAAAAAATGGATATTATTCATTTAAAACGTCGATAGGTTTTTTCCATTCTTGTAATCAAAACATTAAATCTCATCCTTGTACTAATTCTGTAGTTTACATATAATATCGCATTATTTTTGCCTTAGTATTGTCATTAAAAAACAAATACGGTGATGTCTTAATTTTTCTGCTAATATAGTAGTTGTCTCTATAAAAATCATAATTATGAAGTTGTTTTCAAATTAACATGCTAAAATCGGTTTAAAAATGTCTTTTTATTCATCTTCAGTTGTTCATATAAAACATCTATTAGAACAATGATTTATACAGTAAGACTACATATAAATCCTTGATCTGATACAAATATACATTAATTTACTGAAATCCAACAACAATAAAAACAACATCGAAAGCATTGAAAAAATGAGACCATTACCTGTTTTATTTATTTTCTTTCTACATGATTCCTCTTATCCTCCTTGTTCATTTTCACTTTAATCACGCGTGATTTCACTTTAATCACGTAAGGTAACGTCTCAATATAATAACCTCAACAACTTGTTGCTCGGAATAAAATCCAATAAAATCACTTCGATTTTTTTCTCGTTATAAACAGTAAGAATCTACAGCTTCTCTACATCTGATCAGTGAGTGTCAACTGGCAGACGACACTGAAACGGAACGTGCTAATTGTTTTTTTTTTAATTGTGAATCGCGTCTGCTATTACTAGATCGGTTTTATTATTGTACTATCTTGTCTTTTAGAAGAAAAACTATAACCTGAAATCAATGTATTGTCTATTAACATTAGAATACGTTAATGATGTGTCGCCCTGATGATAACAATGTTATCTGTATCTAAGGTCTCCATTCACCCACGTGTTTATTAACCCATTCATACATTTTTATTAGAAATATTACAAAAAAATGACTATCTTGATATTGAAATCACGTATTTCATCCTTTCTTAATTAAAAAATATTTATTGTTGTCCAAAGAGAAAAATAGGGTCCCTCTTTGTACAGGCGTACATGTAATAAAACCGTAAATGACCCAAGGCAAATATAAAATTTAATATCTATACTAATTTAGTTTTGTATAAGTGGAAACTGTCAAATATCGCCATACATTTTTGTAATTTAGAACTTCAAAGTTATAATTGGAAACCTCGGGGAGATATGTTGTTCAAATTATAGCCGGGTATAATGGCGTTCCGACTATATGGAAATCAAGAAGGAATATTTCGCACCTTAAACTTTTACTTTAGCAGTCCGGCAAGACAGAACAACAAACTCCAAACTAAATGTAATGTAACATACAAACAATAACAATATATATAAGCACAAGCAATTAAAGGATTAAGCAGATTAACAGATGCCAAATAGAAATAACAATATATTAAAAGAGTAATTAGTGTCCGACACGTATATGTAAATTATTGTCCAAACTGTTACAGAGCATAAATAATTAAACGAATAGACTAAATGAAATTCAGTCCTTTGTCCAAGATTATGGCACTTAATCTGTGTTAAACACTTAATTATGTCTAAAGTTACGACAAAGTCCAGAATAATATATGCAAAATATGAAAATAGAGTAGAACACTTGAAATAATAAAATGTTGTACAAAAACTTATTTCGCACTTCACAGTACCAGTAGTCCGGTCATAAAATTATCATGTGTAACACTAATGTTTGTGTGGTCATGATATTAAGTTATGTTTATAAATATGTGGCAGAAAAAGAGAAAAATGTTACACTATTTTAAAAACATGTAAAGTGACTATCGAAAAAAAATTCGAGTTGTCATATTATGTTCATTTTGAATTCCAGGTATTCGATGCAGATATTGAACTGGCTCGCCGTATTGTTTTGGTTTTGTTTTTTTTTAATTCTTAGGCATTGCTTATTACATATCATTGATCTTTTCATGTGAGCACAGATCCCATGTTATATTTTGTTCAATAATCATGAGCAAATTATATGATTCCATATAGAGGTTAATTAGTAGTTATGTTTATAACGAGGTATATGATAATAGGTAAGAGTTTAAATATAGATAAGAAATGGCAATTAGGTAATCTGCTCCTTGATGAAACCAATGGATACAAATATCTCGGAGTTTATGTTACCCGTTCATTGACTTTTGCCTACCATATAAATTGTTACTGAAAAGATAAAACTCAATTATATGCCTTAGTTGCCAAATGAGCACGGATCTTTCAATCGTATATCCTTTTGAGATGCCCTCTGGAACTCGGTAATACGGCCATCTATCGCAAACGGTTGTGCTGTATGGCTGCCGTCGTCAGTTTCAAGCAAACAAATTCTTGAAACTTGGCAATATAAATCGGCGAAATTTATTTTCAGTATTAATATGAATATCCCTAAATCGGCTTTTTTCGTAGATTTAGGTTGGGAACCAATAGATGATTTCCTTGATAGATAAAGGGTGTCTTATTTTACTAGAATTCATGACCTAGATAAGGATAGATTATGTCGAATTATATTTGACGAGCTAATGAGCTTAACGCTGCATCGAGGATGGGGATAATTATCCCGAGTACATGGAAATTTGTTCAATACGGTTGGTCTTAATCATTTTTACAATTCAAATGTTAACCTGAATATTTTCAAAAAGATTTTTGGAAAGTTTATTCGTAAAAGAGAATTTCAAGTTATAAGAAATAAAAGCAGTCTAAATGCGTTCTCCAAATTTAACCTTGTGACTGGTAGACAGCCTTATTTGTCAAACTAGCTCGATTTTAAGTCTACACGGTAAAAATTGTTAGCACGAACAAATTGTTTACCCATGAATCAAGTTTTGTATAGAATGAATATGAGCGAGACTCCCATTTGTCAAATGTGTTTATGCAAATCTGAGGAGTCCGTGGAACACTTCGTACTCGAATGTTCTGAATATACCCTTATACGAAACAAGTATTTTGCCGATATAAATGAGTACCTAAGTACTAACTTCCCTGACTATTGCTTCACAGAGTTACCGTCCTACGAAAAAATAAACATACTGCTAGGTGAATATTTTTATAAGGTTGATCCAAATGTTTGTCAACATGTGGACACTTTTAGTAAAAAGATGTTGAGTGAAATGTACACTTACAGGTCTTCGATTTTAGAAAATTAAGCTTACTGTGATTTGCGTGTACAATTAGATTGATGTGATCTTTAAATGTTGAGATTTTATATTATAAAATGCTGTTATGTCTTTCATGAAAGGTGACTTGTTTTAAAGGATATCAATTTTTAACTATGATATTGTCTTATGTGTATTTTATTTCATTGTACATTATTCATTGTATATGCTCTTAGACGCATTTGTAGGTACCCTGCCTGTAAATGCCCCCGTTGTGAAGGGATAGTTTCTTAATAAATATATATATATATATTATACGGGATTATAGTTGTGTTTTCCCCATGACCTCTATAATGTTTTCGTGTCGTTTGGCCGTTGCTGGTGCGTTGACCTTTAACACACATTTTCGTTTAATATATTCAATTCTCAACAACGTTTTTTTCTATATTAGTGAAAAACATCAATGTGCCTGCAAAAATGCTGTAAATTTATCTGTCGAACAACAATTCCTGTAGACATATAATATACACTCTAGGAAACATTTAACTCGAGATGTCTTTGGATTTTTGTTTCGATTGGTTACTAATTGACGATAAGATAAGATATTTTAATTAACCAATCATGGTGCCCAAAATTTGAGCTATAAAATAAAATGAATTATTACAAAATAAAGCACAGTAAAAATATAACAGGTACCACATGAGGGTACAGAGAACACTGTAAAGGATTTTATCGCAAAAAACTTGGAATCTGTAAAAATATAAATTTCGTCTCAGTACATCGTATTGGAAAGCAAAGACAAAATAATCAAAGAATAATAATGACTAAATTTGTAGCTTGGAAAGATAAACAGTTAGTATTGAGGAACTGTCTCAAATTAAAGTAGACAACTATTTCTGTCAGAGCGCAATTTCCGGCAAAAATTGAAAAGAAGAGGAAAAACCTATATCCTGTGTTATAGCAGGCAAGGAAAGACCGAAAGAAGGCTGTATTGGTAAGAGATAAACTTTTTATAGAAGGAGAACTATACAAACCAAATGATGACAAAGAAACAAAACACACGGATTACAAAGAAATACAGAACAGAAACACTCAAATTCATGAACCCGATAATTTATCCGATAGAAGTTCATTCATAAACTCAATCCGCCCCGCTAATATTCCATGGAATCGTCCAATACCAACACAACAGAAAAGTCTTAAGCGGAACAGAATTAATTTTGACGTACCTGATTCGTAAAACCTGGCCAATATTATCTTAAATGCGAAGTGCATAAACTTTCTATTAATTATGATATCTATCTTGATTTTTTAATTCTACCCTAGTACTATCCTGAACATATCTATTCACAAATAATGAAAACCTCTTTTTCACCCGTAGTGATAAAAGGGTTGCGTTTTATTTTCTTTGTCATATTTATTGACCAATTTATTATTTTGTATACTGTATCATGTTGCTCTTGTTGCACACAATGTGTGCCTGAGTGTATTAATAAACACAAACACGTATTAATAAACACAAACATGTAAATTTTTAATGATTAGAATGATTAGAGTGATTAAAGTACATTTTAAGAAAAACATGTATACACATTAAAACAAAGTTACATATAAACAATAGATTTTCATAAGGATTCCTAGTTGTAGATGTTTTATGTAATATCTAAATATTTTCGTTGTTTGAAGTATTACGTTTGAACGTTAGATTTTAGATTTTTTTTTTCTGTTCAATGTAGACTCGGGACTATTTAGAGCTTGTCATATTGTGTAGATAACGGTCTATTGTTGAAGACAGTTTGTTGCACTTAAGATGTCTTTTAGTTATTTTTTTCTCGTTGAGTTGCTGTGTCGTTGAAGTATACCCCACACCAAAATGAAATACTATAGAATTTTACTAAAAGATTTTCGTTGTAGTATCGCCAGCTTAGTTATTTGTCCACAGTCCTATTTGAACATTAGTTGCTGTGTAGTACGTTAAACAACACAACCTACCAACGACTATTTCATACGATTTATGAATGTCAAGCGATTTTTGCATGTCCTTTATACATCACACTTTTAATGGAATGCCTTTTTACTGTCCTTTTCTCCTACATGTACAACTACTAAATGCTTTGATTCATATTTATATTTTATGACGTTTTGAATGTAATATTACTGCCATTTTAACAGTTTGTATGTGTAACCCCGTAAATGTTTTTACATGTATATATCAAGAGGTACTTGTAAACATAAGTTGAAGTAAGTTTTGTTTTCAAAATTATGAAATCATAAATATTATTTGTTGTCTTTTAATTCAACAAAGGAATTTATTAACTAGTGATAAATGTCTTTTTTTTTTTAAACTGAAGAGAATGCGCAATCTTCGTATATTTGTGAGCAGTAATTATTATAAAGAAAAGGGTCTAAAAAATGTGAAGATTTAAAAAAAAACTTACAAGGTAAAATTGCATCAAAGACATTCAGTGGAGCGACATAAGTTATATTTTACGTAAGTATTGAACATTTTCGACATGCGTAGTAATCAATAAGGGCCGATTAAACTTTAATTTTAACATGATATATATTTTCCCTGGTTAGCGGGAGATAACCTAATCTAAACTGTTTGGTCAATGCCTACGTTATTTGTGTTGCTTTTCCGAATATGTCAAGTATGCATTTATCTTTTTCTCGAAAAAATGACAGGTGACACGAATAGTCACTGTACCAGCAGAAATATTCGATAAAGTCTAGCTGAAAAGATTCACTTTCTACCTATCAAACTGATACAATATGCTTTATTTAAAAACACTTCGTCACATTGACATGTGAAACAAGAGGTAAATATATACAAAATACAATCACATACAATCATAGAAATAAATAGACCAACTTAGAAATGAAATATATTAATAATTACTTTACTTTATAATATTTTCGTTAACTTTGAAACGAATAAAGATACATTCTTAAGTACATTAATATTAACCAACGATAGTAGTCCTTTCATTTTTGCTGCACTGGGATATTTAACATAGTATTCTGGAATGTGCTGATTTCTGATACTTTTTACTAAATAAATACAGAATTGCATTCAAATAAATAATGGTATTCATTACCAATAGCATTTAAACACAAATTACATGTCCTCTCGTCTTTTGGAATATTGTACCATCTACCATGCTCTACTGGAATTTTTACATTACAGCATCTTAATTTTGAAATATATTCACGTTCGATTGGTGATAATTGTACAAGATAGTTTTCTAAGCCAAACATTGTTTTAAAAAGACCTTAAGATTCTCCTCTGGATGAGTTGTCAATTTGACTATGCCAATTTTGAATGAATGCATTTTTAAGTTTTTCTTTCAGAACGATTTTTAGTTGATTTACATCTAATGGTAATTGCTGAGTCCAAACATAGCTAAGTCCGGAATTGTCTAAAATCGGTTTAATATAGTCAATCCATTTGAACATGTGATCGTCTTTTAAGTTGAACATGATTTGATAAAGTATACTGCTTAGTTTATTTTCATTGGCGAGAAGTCTGTTCCAAAAACACACCATTCTACATTTTATTACGGTATCTATTGGTGTACGACCAAGTTCTCCATATGTCATAAAATTTGGTGTCAAGGATCTTATTTTCAACACAATCCGGCAAAACTGTAGTTGTATTTTTTCCAGCATGTAATTGTTTCCGAATCCCCATATTTCACACCCATATGTCAGAATTGGAAGTATAAGTGCATCAAACAGTTGTAATTGTAAGTCGACAGGTATTGAGAGGTTACGTATCTTTGTATAAAGACTATAAAGTGCTTTCTGTGCTTGTTTGCTAAGACGTTTCTTCGCTGTTTCAAATGAACCATTGTAGTTAATAGTTAGTAATCCATAATATGGATAAAAATCTTGAATTCCAATAGACTGGTTAAATATTTGAAAATGTGGTAATGTTCATGATTTCCGTTTGCAGAACACAACAACTTTGTCTTCGATAAATTAACGTTTATCTTCCATCGGACACAGTATCTTTCAAAAACATTTAAGGCTTGTTGCATTGATTCGGCCGTTTCAGTTATAAGTGTTGTCGGGGTACAAAAGAACGAAAAGTTTTATATAAATAATTGCGGCAAATATTTTCCATAACTTGCAAGTTCTGAACATCATTTTCAGCAAAGAAAGACTCAAGATCGTTTAGATAAACAGCAACTAAAAAGGGGGATAAATTTTCTCCCTGTCTCACTCCAATGTTACAGTTAAAAACGGCTGACACTTCGTTACCATTCCTAACGCACGATTTAACATTACTATACATGCTATATATTACCTTAAAAATTTTCCCGGAAATATTCGCCTTTTGTAATTTTATCCATAAAGATGTATGATAGATTGTGTCAAAGGCTCTCGAAAAATCAACAAAAGTGCAAAAGAGTTTTTTTCCAAGAGCTTGATAAATTGATATTAATAATACAAATATGTCATCCAATGTACTATAACCTTTTCTGAATCCTGTTTGAGCCTCGGAAATCAGATTGATCTCAATTGAAAGTTCCCCAAGTCTTTCATTTAAGATCGATGTGAAAGATTTCCCTAGACATGACACTAAAGTTATTGGTCTGTACGAGTTAGGATCATATATATTGCCTTTATTCTTGAAGATAGGTTGAATAATTCCCATTGTCCATGAATCTGGGACCTTCCCAGTATTTAAAACAATGTTGAATAACTTGTGATAGATGGGCAACATTTCCTTAACCGTATGTTTAATATGTTCATTCACAATACCATCATATCCGGAAGCCTTATTGTTTTTAAGTTTTTTGACGACATTCAAAATTTCTTCTTCTGTGATTGGAGAATTTAAAATTCTGTTAATGTTCTCTGGTGATACCTTTGTTAAATCTATGTCTGAGTTGTCTTCAATCACTTCATCTTGGCTTAGACGTTTAAAATGTTCATATAAATCTTCAATTTTAACAGCATCAGTTTTATTTGATTTGTTGGTACATAAATGTATCTATACTATTTAGTTTTTTCCAAAGCCGTTTTGGGTCAGATTTAGCCAGTTTTCTAAGATCTTTGGCGGTATTTATTTGGAAGTCATTATAACTTCGATTTAGTTCTTTTTTATAAGATTTACTTGCTCCTTTCAGAGCGTTTTTATTTTCTTCACTCTTTATGTTCCCGTTTCTTTGTCTAGCCTGATGAAATAAATTTCTTTTGCCTTTGCATTCTCTTTTATACCATGGTTTTTCCATGTGCTTTGTATATTTCTGGTTTTTACATTTTGTTCAAAACACTGAGATTGAACAGCTGTTAAATATGTCACAGATTTTATTCATTTCCGTGTCAATATCGGTTTGTTGTACAGTATTATTTCGATCGGTTATTTTATCAAGAATATTTTCTATGTCCCGTATTTCTTCAGACTTTTTTTCTATAACAAATTTGACAAATTTATCTTTTTTATTATTGTTCCATTTAATGACTTGCTTCTCAACGGTTTTCACATTGTTGATATTAGTATATGGTTTTGATTCCAGAGTAAACTTTAGGTTACAGTGGACATCTGATAGGATAGGATTAAATTCTTCTACTTCGAAATTCTTCGTCATTTGAAAAAGATCAGAACTAAGTATTAGATAATCAACGACACTAACGTCATTACAAGTAATTTTTCCTACTGTTTTGTCATTACCTATTCTTGATTTTGCAATACATGTATTCATTTTTTACACAATTCTAGAAATCGATGACCATACGCATTTGGTCGGCATGCACATTTGCTATATCTTCGCAAGGAAATATTGTTTGTGAAGAGCCCATTGTAATCGGAAAAGTAATTCAACGTATGTGTATCATCAGTATTTAGAATTTCAAGTAAATGTTGATCTGGGATAACATAATCTAGTAATGTAGATGTCTTAGCATTAAAATTAAGAAGTTTTTTAAATGAGGTTCAGACAAATGAAGAAATTCGTTTTCAATTTCAGTAAAAGCATCTACCGATGAGTATTTAGATCCTTCTGGTGGTATATATACACAGCCCATTAATACATTGTCATTTAAAAGATCTTCCGAAAATTGTATCCACTGTACAAATTCAGAGTTTGTTTTTTTAAATGTAAGAAATTTTTCAAGTTCAGATTTGTATATGATGACTATGCCACCTGACTTCTTTTAAACTTTGATCGATGTTTACTAAAACAACTATGTCATTTAGGGAGTGATATGATGTCTAATTTATCTGTTTTTGTTTCTACAAATATAGAAATATCGTTGTTGATAACGAGTTCTGAAAATTCTGGTGCTAAAAATTTTGATTTAAGTCCACATTTATTTAAAAATGAGAATTTCAATTCGCCTCTTGCTGACCTGTCCTATAAATGAGTATTTTCTGTCTCGTCAGAATTTGTTCTAGAACGTTTGTAGGGCCTTTTTGGAACTGGAGGGCCACTATTCACTGGAATCTGGGAGTTTGTTGGTCTATTAATAAGGCTATCTCTAAATTCCCTTCCTTGAGAAATGTATGTAATATTTGGTTGCGGTTTGTGAAGTTCTCCGTTGATATATAGTCGGTCTCGTACTTAAACCGCTTTTTTATTGTCCTTTTTAGCCTGTTTTAATATAGGGTAAAGTTCTTTACGTTTTGTTTCTATTTCCTTGGGGAATTGTTCCTTTATCCCATAATCGGTACCTTTCAGTCTGTACGCGCATTTCAAGACATGATCAAGATCTCGTCTGGATGTGAAGCGAGCCACTATAGGCCTAATGTACATGCATGTCTTATGAATGATATAGAAATAAGATGTAATATGATTGCCAATTGAAACAACTTTCTACCAGATACCAAATGACGTAGAAGTTAGCAGTTAAAGGTCGCCGTACGCTCTTCAACAATGAACAAAACTCATACTTTATAGCAAGCTATAAAAGGTACTGGTTGTTCTGTTTATTTGGTAAATGTTTACACAACAATCGTTGCATTTCATTGGTATTTACCTTTTTTTGGTTGATTCATTTCCGCTGATACATTTTATTGTGATTATCATTAGTTAATCAAAATATGACATTAGGTAATACATTGTATAAGTTGGCTCTAATATATAAAGCATATAAATCTTTAGAAATGTAGAGTTTTATTTTTCACATTGTTATTTCATTATTAAATGAGTTCTGTTTATGTCTGATTTTAACTACTTCCAATGCAATTGATGACTCCCTTTACATTTATCCTTGGTCGTTGATGATGTCCGTTGATTTGCCTCCGTGTGTGAATTTATGGCGTGATGTCCGATACTGTTATCCTTCTTTTGATGGTACATAGTTTCGTTAATGAAGAAAAGCTTTTCTACAGAAAAAAACATGGAACTGCATTTAAATCTATCAAATATGGAATATAAGCAATTTGCATAAGCGAGAATGTTTTAATGTTAGAAATTTTCCAGTAAAAGTTTTCATAGTTTTTATGCAAGTACTTCGTTTCGGAACTAAGTATAAGATATAAAAATGGCTTGTGCTACCAAAGTCCTTATATAAAAAGATAAAACTGTCATGAACAAACCGTGGTCTTTCTTCTAGCCAACTATAAAAAGTCTTGAAAATGAAAAAATAAAAATATTGTTGTTGCCCAATGCAATTCAATTTATTTTTAACCAAATCAGTGGCGGATCCAGAACTTTTTATAAGGGAGGGGGAACTGACTGCCATAAGAGGGGGACTGCTACAGTCATGCTTCAGTGATTTCGTAATTATCAACCAAATCTTTCCCACAAAAGGGGGCCCCAGGCCCCCCCCTGGATCCGCCTATGCAAATACTCTCTCTATTTAACCTAATGTAGACTACTTACATTTTTTGTTCTAGGAATTTTGGGTTTCCTTCAGCCAGTTTTATAATTCATCAAAATCTTTGCGATGTCCATTGCTGTGAACTCAAGCGTGTCTGTGTCAAAGGAAAATATAGATATATAAGCAAACAGATGTCAAAAGGCAAAGCAAGCAAAACAGTGAGAGAAAATAGATAAAAATAGATGTTTTGAAGAGAATGGAATTAAGTATCGTACAGCCTTAAACAGTGATCAAAACCCATACTTTATAGTCAGCAATAAAAATCCCCGACCGACCTGATCTTCATAAGTGTACCATTAACTTATTGTTTTATAATTTTGAGCAATTACTCACTCATAGTAGTATGTAGTTGGTTTCTGGTTAACATTTCAAAGTTGTAATCAACTACTTCGGCAGAATCATTTACATATATCTTATGTTTCGTTTGAATAATCGGAGATTTGAGGTAAACAATTATGTTAAAGAGACACCAACGACAAAAATAACAAAAAGACATCTTGAAATTGTCTATCATAGTGTTCGATAATAAAAACGAGTAATTGCACAATAATTTACCTGCCGCTCCGAAATGAGCTCGGTCAATCTCATTTCTAAAGATTGCATTAACAAATTTTATAGTTTCTGACCAATATACCTACATTGTATATTTGTTCATGTTTACCTTCATTTGAAACGTATGTTCTGATTGCATCCTTTATTTGTTGTTCCTTGTAATACCCCATGCTGACTAATGCCTGGGCTGCTGTTGTGTGAAGCAAATCATCCGTGTACAGATTACTTTTCTCTAAAAGAAAAGTATACATTAAAACTAATGGACATTACGAAGATGTTTTGGCCAACTTCATTTTGTATAAACAGGTTATAAGTTTGTTATTGTTTGCGTCTTTGTCAGATTTATTCGTATGTTCGTTTGAATTTTTAAATCAGTTGCGGTGTATGTCTGTGATGTATGTTTATGTTTATACAGTTTTGGTTGCTTGGTCCCTATTATTGTCACGTTTACCAACCATCATGTTTATTTGAATTGCTCACCCGATTATGTCAATATAACGGAATAATAAACAACTGTCATACAAGTGGGAGGTTTAGCAACCATAAAACCAGGTTTAACCCTCCATTTTCTACAGAAAATATCTGTACCAAGTCAGGAATGTGACAGTTGCTTTGCATTCGTTCCGTATTTAATAGTCTAACGTTTGATTCTGTAAGTATTAATGGACTTCTCCTTTCTTTTAATTTATTTTGGAGTTCGGTATTTTTGTTGAAATATTATGTATATTCTGTTCCATGAAATTACAACGTGTATAATACATACTGTCTTCATTTGGATTAACAATTTAATTTTCTCTTGTTTAAGTTAAATACAGTTTTCTTTAAAAAATGGAATATTAATTATTTCAAATTAAGGACTGTTGATGGGAAACATAAAACCTTACAATCAGATTTTGTAATATATAGTAAACATTACAAAATGAATGAAAATTAAACTGTGCATACATTCCTAGAGAAGGAAAAGATAAGAGTCTTATATAAATCACATACTTTGTATTCTTTTTTTCATTTGAAACCGTTTTCTGATAAAAATTAGCTGTTGGTGAAAGACTTTTTTTTTATTGTTTCATTGTTTTAAGAAATACGAATAGAGGTGTATCTTTTCCATATTTTTTTCTATGGGTGCGAAACTGTAGTAGTCCTATTAATTAATTAGTGAAAGTTGATTAACTCATTATTTAACTAAGTACCAGTACTTACTTGGTTTTTCATTAAGGCCATCGTTCTCTATCTACAAAATAAATGACATTTGTATGTTGTTTCCTTCACTATGGTATGTTTATATCACGTGAGCTAACTACGGCCAATAAATGTCTCCAAACAACGGATTTGAATAAGAAAGTAGAAATTCGTCAGTTATGATGAAGTTAAAAGGGAATGTGGGATATGTGTCAATACAATAACTCATCATCCTCAAATAGACAAAATAGAAAAAAGACCTCAATAAGCATACTAAAAGTGACTGCACAATGTGGCATTCATATATATTTATACCAAAAATATCAGATTCTGAAGCAATTATTGAACAGAAACAAAATCACTATAAACTCTTTCAATAAGTTATATAAGCCAAAAACGAATGATTCATTCCTAAACTTGGTTGCTTTTCAAATGAAAAAAAAAAAAAAAAACTTGTAGCGACCATATACTGATGGTCAGTATAATTCCAACGTACCGTAATGAAACCTATCAAATTAAAGACATCCCCTTCAGAATAGTTGGTCTCTTATTTCAAACATTCTGATTATCAAAGCCATTTGAGGTTTTGGTGAGCGAAAGCTTTTATCAAAATGAAGAGGTCTGATATAATTGAAGGCGCTATCACGACGAAAACAATTAATATGGAAGAATAATAATAATTGTACCCTTTAAAGATTTTCCGATACGTTAACCTGGCAGCAAAACAGTGACGACGTACAGACGGACGGACGTACGGAATAGATAATTAAATTTGTACAAAAGTCGTAGTAAAAGAGAGGCGGATGATACCAAAGGGATAGTCAAACTCAAGTCGAAAACGAAATGACAATGCCATGGCCATAAAACAAAAAACAAAGAAACAACCAAAAGACAAACAACAGTCTATAAAACACAGCATAAAAATTAAGGCACGAATCCCACAAAAAACCGGGGGTTATCCAAGGTGTTCTGAAGAATAAGCAGATCCTACTCCTAATGTGGCACCTGTCGATGTGCTTATCTGTAAGTAGTATTATCATTATTTGTATACGTGTTAACTTTGTCAAACATAAGATCCCTGGTTTTTTAACATGTTTAAGTTTAACTTTTTTCGTATTTTGTCATGTCAGTACGGTGACCTTTAATTTATAGTAGGTTAAATTCAAGTCATTTGGACTCTGGTTTATAGTTTTCTCTTTTCAGTTTATTAATGTACAAATGACCTGTTTCGCTTTTGAAATACATTATTAATTATTATTAATAATTTTCTTTAGTCATACAAAATATTCCCGTTATTATCTGTTCTATTATTAGACATTGGACTTCCCCTAATACCAGTAGTCAATGTTATTTTTAGATATTGTCTGAATGTGTCAGATTGTTATTCTTGTAGATTACTACATACACTTTATATTATATTGTATCATTAATATTGATTGTTTGTTGCATACAGGATCTAAATGTCTTAGACACAATACATGTAGCTCATTTTTTAAAAGTTTTAATTCATGAAATACTAGTATGTACAAAAGTACAATTAAAATGAAAACGTCAGTTGTTTGGCTATTTATTAAACATGTTAAACATATGTCACTACAATACCGGGAATTTGAATGAGTGCACGTGCACCTAAACCACTTGTTCACCATTAAAATGAAATGCCCATGTACTAACAGGATAAGAGGGTAAAGTTAACAAAAATGAATCAGCAAAATTAATGAATGACACACACAAACAAACAATTTAAAGACATGTCATACAATATAACTACCTCGTTTAACCTTGTGTAGAAATCTTTTCCTTTAACATTGGAAACATGAGGACAGTTCTTCCCGTGTCTGGCATGTTCTACCCAAGGATCATCGAATACATCCCAACTTTTAAGCTTTAATCCGCAATAAAAACATTGGACCACATCTTCTGTACCTACAAGTATAATTAGTCCAAACTTACTACCGAATAACGGGTAATGCGTAGAATTATAAGCAATGAAAGATTAATAGTTTTGTTTGAAAAAAATGTAAAATAATTTATTGACCAACACGAATCCGCAAAAGTTTATAATGCAAGATAGACAACACATAAATTTATAAAAACGTCTGTACAAATACTCACACGACCTTGCTAAGTGTATGAATGTATACAATTTTTAACTGTTGTATGTATTTTATAGTTTATAGATATAAGAAGATGTGGTATGAGTGCCAATGAGACAACTCTCCATCCAAGTAAAAATTTATAAAAGTAAACCATTATAGGTCACAGTACGGTCTTCAACACGGAGCCTTGGCTCACACCGAACAGTAAGCTATAAAGGGCCCCAAAAAATTACTAGTGTAAAACCATTTCAAACGGGAAAACCAACGGTCTAATCTATATAAAAAACGAGAAACGAGAAACACTTATGAACCACATCAACAAACGACAACTACTGAACATCAGATCCCTGACTTAGGACAGGTGCAAACAAATGCAGCGGGTTTAAACGTTTTAATGGTACCAAACCTTCACCCTTTTTCCTGAAACAAAAGTGTAACATCACAACATAGAAAGACACACTATAAAATATCAACTGAAATAGCTTAACTCAATCAAAGGACATATTAACACCATTGAACATACACTGAACAAATAAATTTGACCTATGACACAATGTAAATACAAAATAAATAAACTAAGGGAAGAATAATAAAAGTAACATGTTATATCGGTAAGAAATGTTAAACAATTAAAGAAAAACAATATGCTCGAACAAAAATACCATCCATTTGCAATTACTTTAAACACAGGTAAATGAAAATAATTTTGTTGTTAGGTATACCTGTACAGTACCAATAGAGAAAGGAAATATTTTTACAAAATAAATAATTTTGAATACAAAATAAATAAACTAAGGGAAGAATAATAAAAGTAACATGTTATATCGGTAAAAAATGTTAAACAATTAAAGAAAAACAATATGCTCGAACAAAAATACCATCCATTTGCAATGACTTTAAACACAGGTAAATGAAAATAATTTTGTTGTCAGGTATACGTGAACAGTACCAATAGAGAAAGGAAATATTATTACAAAATAAATAATTTTGATGTTCATAGTACGAAGTGAAAATTTATAGTTATACCAAACACTTATAAAAGCTGGTATATAGACCAGATATAACCCAGAATAACATTAAATAACAAATAAGCAATACAATTAGTATCAACAGGTCAAATAAACAAGAAAGTACGATTTGAGAGTACTCGCAGTTACTGACAGCTAGTTAAAAGCCAAAACAATTAATAGTAAAAAATCATGCATCAGAGACTAAAATCAACTAAAACACATCCCAGGGATTTAGTATTTTAACGTCATGGACAGTCAAAGAAGACATGACTAGTGCAATGCCAAAAATAAATGTATCGACAGACAGTAGGATAGTTAGAAGTTTAACCTCTTTATAGATCTAAACGAACGTGGGTGTGTCTTTATACATCCCACTTGAAAAAAATACAAATTTAGTTATGTATTAAATTGCTGATGTGACAGGCATGTACTGACTTGACATTAATGAAATTGAGAATGGAATGGTACATTTTGTCACATTTATAAATCTATGTATTAACATATTCGTACATCATATAATACAATTAAAACATTAAGGCTGCAAATGAAAGGTTACAGTTGTTTTTTTAAAGGCCGTTTTGATATTCATACTCTCCTACGTTTTATATATATTTGGTTGACTTTTTATCTCCAGCAATTTTCCAGTATCGCGTCTCGTGTTCCCTTAACCCGGTGTTGGTAACTTGCTTTTGTTTTTATTTAATTATAATTTTAGATACTGATATATTCTAAGAACCTGCTTCCTTCATTTCTAAACAATATTCTGGTGATCCTTTGTAATGTTGTAATGTCTATTTCTAATTTGGGTGTCCAGCGTCGGTGCCAAACCCGTATCCACCGCCCACCAAAATCCACATACATGTAGTTAATGTGTATTCAAGTTTAAAAAACACGCTTATTTTACGAATATATATAATGTTATTACTTATAGTTACCCGTGTAGTAGAAGCCAGCTTCTGACAGATCTACAGGTCTTGGAGTTGGCCTACTCCAACATTGAAATGACCGTAGACGAGAAGCCACAGTTGTATAACCATTGTTAAACGGTTTCTTTAAACAAACTCCTAATGTATCGTCTCCATCTGAATTCTTAAAGCTGTTCTCTTTCATTTTGTAATGGAACATAATTTTCTTCGTCTACTTTGTGCATATTATTGTGAGATACAATAATAGTTTATAATGATTTGTCATCTCGAACATTCTGTCATGCTCCCAATTCTAAATATAACTCGATGATATTCGTAATTTAAAAATCCAAGTTCTAAAAATAGAGTTACTGTAATGTTTTTCTTTTAATATCATAATATAATAAAGAATTAAATATTTCTATTTCGAGAAAGATACTATAGAATGTGTTAACAGTTATAAGTATTTAGGTACATATGAAGTATTTTTTTAAGTGTAAATAAAAAGTCCTCTAACCTACCTGTGCTAGGAGAACTTGGTAGATTCTCTTTATATTTTTCAGTTGTATTATCAATGGTGAAATATTGGTTTAGAATAAAAAAAAAAAGGAAAATGGTTTACTATATGATCCCTTTAAGTGCAACAAAAACAGATTTTCTAATAATATTGAATGCTGGTATTCATCCATACATTATATTTTTAAAAGCTGAATATTTAAAATTTAGATGTAAATCTTAACTTTTTTATCAAGTTCAGTTTAGCAAAAACTTTGTAATAGTTTTGTGAAATTTTGGAACACAAAAAGAAGAGATACAAAAATAGTAAATTAGATACTTATTTCAAACTAAAAACTTGTTTTTCTAAAGAAATGTATCTATCTTTAAACAATTTTCGATTGAGAAGTGTTATATGTAAAATCAGAATCATTCAGTGCCTATGATCTCAAAATAGAAAGGGACAGGTATAAAACTTTATATATAGAAAGAGATCAAAGGCTTTGTAAGAAATGTACCCTTAATTTGGTTGAAGATGAACAAAATTTTATTACTAGTTGTCTAGCATAAAGAATATTTGTCATAACTTTTCAGATCTGTCGAAGGAGGCAAAATTTGTTTGGTTATTTACTATAAATGAAAATTTGTTTGTCCTAAATTGTTAGGGAATTATGTTATTTAATGTCTAGATGTTAGACGAAACGTAAATTAATATACGTCATACCGGGTATATATGGATGATTATTGTTACAGTAATGATTTTACGGTTCTGGTCCTGCCTGGAATAAAATGTATATGCTTTTTATAAGATGAAGAATTATATGCAACTTTATAGCTATATGAACATTTAATATTTCATTTCAATAAACAAAAAACTGTTTTTAGTTAGAAATCATAATGTATTGTTTAGTGTGTATAAATGTCATGCTGCCCATCAAGGCCCTTGATTGGAACGATAAATATTCTTTATATATTATAGGTGGATCATATTGGAGTTGCTCCAAGAGAATACAAATAATTATAGTAACAAAGTGAATATGTAAACTGACTTTCTTCTATGTACCTTTCTGCGTGCGTTCTCCAATCTTTCTTTTTTTGTTGATTTGTTTTTAAAAACAAAAGTTTTCTTTGGTCTTATGCTTGTTCGAAAAAAGGATCGTAAAAGTACAAATTTTCCTTGATGAACTATTATCTTTATTGACTGTTGAATATTGCAAATAAAAAATAAAAAAGCAGTTTCAATTACAGTGTGATCAAAGACAAAACAAATCTTGTGATGTTTGTTCAATCATGTCTGTAAAACAATATCTAAAAACACTACCATGATACTGTCCCTTAGGCTGGTCCTCTCCCTTGCAACATCAGAGCCAAACAGATAAAGGACAGGGAACCAGTCTAACTGTCCCTACTCCATTCATCCAATGAAAATAAATTTCTTGTGTTCGAAGTGCTTTTCTAGATTAAAATTTGCCTTCATCGAGAATACTCAATCCTAAACATTAGAAACCAAAACTTACTTTGGAAAGTCGTATCCTTTTCCATTCCTCTCCAATTATGAAAAATAGTTTCTATCTATGATTTTTTTTTCTGATTGAAAAGAAATAGTTTGAATTTTTTTTCTGATTGAAAAGAAATAGTTATAACAAAAATTTACTGCACCAGATGCACATTTTGACAATTAATGTCCCTACAATGAAACTTGAGATCTAAATATTTGAAAGTCCAAAGCCTTATACAAACATCGAAGAGCTGATGAAACCAAAAAATACCAAAAGTAAATCCAAATCCGGACAAACAATCAGTCCATTGAATGGGATACATTCCTTGATTTAAAATGATATTGAAATTTCACAACAGCAAATTTCAATCAAACAATATCCATATTTTCATGTCAGTACCAAAGAACTGGATACAAGGCTGGTAATACTTACAGTCCATAAGCAGAGGTATCGACCCAGTGGTAGTAATAACATGCCGTCATCAAAACTATTAAAACACTGAGTCTGCAGCCCAAATAGTATGGTTTCGCATATATTTTATTATAAGTATTGCCCTTTCTAACTATAGTGTAAAACTAATGCCCCAGAGTAAACAGTGAATCAGAGTTAGACAAGTATAGTTTCCCCGAGTATATAGTGAGTTAAAAGAAGCATATATTGAAGAATTAAGGCAACACAAAAAAATATGAAGATGTGATATGATTGCCAATGAGACAAATTTCCACCAGAGACCAAATGACGTAGAAATTAGCTACTAAAGGTCACTGTAAGGCCTTGTAAGGCCTTGAACAATGAGCAAAACCCATACCGCATAGCAAGCTATAAAAAACACAGAAATGACAAAAGTAAAACAATCCATACGAGAAAACTCGGCCTGATTCATGAAAAAAACAACAAGCGAAAACAAAATATGATCTACAGCAACAAACGACAACCACTGGATTACAAGCTACTGACTTGGGACAGGCACATACAGAATGTGGTGGGCTTAAACATGTTTTTGAGAGAGCCAATCCACCTCTAACCTGGGACAGTGTTTTAACAGCACAACATAAACAAGCTATAAAAATCAGTTGAAAAGAGCGTAACTCTTCAGATCGATTCAAAGCACAAAAACAACTAACAAAAAGAGTGCAATTGGAATGCAGAAAGATCCAGAATCATTCAAGAAAAAAAATCAAATTCTTATTTCAACCGGTAGAATTTGGAATTCTGCTTTATGTTACTTTAAATCCAGATCAAATCAAAATTCCCAAATCTATTACTGAAAATGTAATATCCAGATTTGTAGAATTTCAAGGATAACCACGGGTTGTACAATTGTTTTTGATTTTACTGAAAACAATAGTTAGTTCGATGCCTGATTGCACTGGATTCAAATTTTAAGAACTGTATACTGGACAAGGAGGAAACGAAAACCAATTACCTATAATACATCTATCTTTATCAATGCTTTATTTCAAACAACAATAACATCCCTCAGCCTTGATTATAACAAAAATTCGTAAGGGTTCCACGGAACCCAGTGTCTCGCCTACTTTTGCTGTTAATCACAGGCTCAACAAAAATGAGGAAAAAAATTAATAAAAATATTCCTCTCTATACTATCTTTTGATTGTAAGTAGCTTCTGTCCAAATTTGGTAAAAATCCAGGATAGTTTATGAATCTAATAAATGTTTTAAAAACTTAAACTGCAGACTGTATGTAATGTTAACTGGAAAAAAACTAAGTCCATTTATAAGTAAAACACGGAAAAAATGGAACAAAATTTTAACAAAATTTCCTTCTAGATACTAGCTTTTAATCATAAACAAGCTTCTGTCCAAGTTTGGTACAAATCCAGGATAGTTTAAGAAAGTTGTTAAAATTTTAAAAACTTTAACCACAGAGTGAATGTAATGTTAACTGGCAGAAAAACTAAGTCCATTTATAAGTAAAATACGGAAGAAATGGAATTTTTTTTTTTACAAAATTTACTTCTGGATACTATCTTATGATCATAAACAAGGTTCTTTCCAAGTTTGGTAGAAATCCAGGATAGTTTAAGAAAGTTATTAAAATTTCAAAAACTTTAACCACAGTGTGAATGTAATGTTTCCTGGCAGAAAAACTAAGTCCATTTATAAGTAAAATATGGAAAAAATGGAATTTTTTTTTTACAAAATTTACTTCTGGATACTATCTTATGATCATAAACAAGCTTCTGTCCAAGTTTGGTAGAAATCCAGGATAGTTTAAGAAAGTTATTAAAATTTCAAAAACTTTAACCACAGAGTGAATATTTGTGGACGCCGCCGACGACAACGACGACGACGACGACGACGCCGACGGAATGTAGGATCGCTATGTCTCGCTTTTTCGACAAAAGTCGAAGGCTCGACAAAAATGAATGGTTTGTTCTGTGGTAGTTTGAAAATAAATAACCTGACTTACAATGTATTGAAAATAACTTGGCGGGTCTTTTAAGCCATTTTATAAATGCTATTCTGAAGTATGAGATGGATGGCAGCAGATTCTTCCAAAATTCGTCTTTTTTCATATTTTTTTCGGGAAAAACTTCCCAAATCTTTTAATAATATAAATATTAATGTATTTGAAATGTTTGAAAATGGTTTTCATTTCACTTGAGGTATATTGTCTCGTGAACATTTACCTCACCGTTTTATTACAGGGCCGTAACTACATTGAGGCAAATGCCTCATGTTGGAAATTTCAAAAAAAAAGCTTGTCATATCAAATTGCAAGTTCTGTTCACCCTCTGACGTAGCCCCTGTTTTTTGAGATCCATGTTTCTCAATTATTTTTATTTTTCAGTGTTGATTGTCTATAATGTTTGTCGTTTTGTGTTTTATCTGTTCCCGTGTTTGTCTTTTGTTCATTGATTGCCCTTCTTTATGACTATTCTCTTAGTGTTGCATTCTATTTGTAATTTAGTAATTATGTTTTAAACTTGAGTTTTATTATATTTAAGGACCTTTTGTCTATTACAAACTACTTTAAATTGTATCCCAGTTAGGAACTACATCAAGTTGTAATTGAAATGTGTTATAAAAACTGACTTGACATAGTTATATCAATGATAATCAGCCCCCTCTTAACTTATTTTAAAAAAAACATAATTGTTCGGTGTGAACCAAGGCTCCATGTTGAAGACCGTACTTTGACCTATAATGGTTTACTTTTATAAATTTTGACTTGGATGGAGAGTTGTCTCATTGGCACTCATACCACATCTTCTTATATCTATTATTGACAGACATAAAAGGTTTTTCTGCAAACTGAAACATTTTTTGCTTTGT